CTCTGAGCTTCACTGGGGGCTGTGAACAGCAGAGGATGGAAGAGCCCTGGTCCATCACAAGAGTATGAAGAAGCCCTGGCCAAGGCTTGGGGAATGAGGAGCCTTGGTTGAAGTCAAGTGTGGGTTTTTGCCTGCAGAGGGAGAAAGCCCTGGGCTTTCTAGGTGAGGTCACCCTAGAAGGAATAGAGAGTGACACAATAGAGGACCAAGACCAGAGGCCCGAGCAGCACCAACCTTTGGGAAGAAATGGAGCCATTATAGCTGAGTCTGGGTTGAGTGTAGAGACCCCAAATCTGGAGTGAACTTGACCAATGGGGGTCTGACATTGAGGAGAACAACAAGACCAGGCATGGACATCAGCCCTGGATTCTCCTATGTGGACCTAGAGGACTAGCTCAGAGCCTTTCCCAGGGAGGAGAAGTGGAAGCCACATTGCTAGGAAGGAAGAAGTGACCCAGGATAGGAAGTGAGGTCAGAGAGTTGAGACCACCCTTAGGCAGTTCTGCCGAAAGCAAGGGATAATGCCTGGGAGGGTTCTAAGTCTGTTCAAATTTTCTTTTGAACCAGGCCTGGTACAAATCTGTAATCTTAGGTACTCAAGAGGAAGCTGAGACAGGAGGACCATCCATTCAAGGCTTGCCTGGGCTACAGACTGAGTTCAAGTCTCGCCTAAATGACCTAGCAAGACCTGTGTCAAGAAACGAAATGCAGGGGATTAGCTCAGAGGTAAGCAATTGCCTGCTGTGTATAAGGACCTGGTTTGATCCCCAGCACCCACCCCACCCCCACATACACACACACTTTGAATTTTCCAGTCTAGTTTAGTGCCAATGAGGCCCAAGAGGAGCCTTGGGCCTTCTTACCTTTCTGATAGAAGAAAAGCAGCTATCCCATGAGGCTGAAGCTATGGGAAAGGTAGTATCTCCAGATGTGGGGAGGAAGGAGTGTGTTTATCACCAACTCTTTAGAATTGGTACTCCATGATAACAAGGAAAACAAACCAACTGCCATTTTCACTGTGGGTTTTTAATTCTATACAGATCATCACTCTATGTTCTAATCATCTGCACCCAGGACCAGGGCACCTCCCACCCAGTGCACATGGGCAAGGCCTGAGTCTCCTGGCTGAGTATGCATCCGTCTCCCTCCACTCTGGCTGATGGGCATCCAGTAAGCACCGGCACTGAGCTTCCCGCCCCTTTCCTGTGGCTCACTGTCATCGAGGCTCCTCCTGACTTTAGAGTTGGTGGAAGAATAAAATGAGACAGGGAATACCCAGGGCCTAGCATACAGTAGGCACTTACTAATTGCTCCATGCAAAGTCTAGGAACATAACAGTTAACTGATATAGCCACCCACTTCTATTTGATTCGGACCTGCCTCTAATCCTACCTCATCCCACTCCACCTACAAAGGCTTCCCCTGGCCCCAGAGGCCAGCTCCACCAGAGGCCACAGTGGTCCAGCCTAGGCTGCCTCCACAGCAGCTGAATTTAGGCCCGCCCATGCCATGCCAGCGGGGTGTCCCTGGAGGAAGCACTGCCACCTGGCCACAGGGGGCAGTTGTCATGGGGATGCTGGGCCTGCTGAGCTATCTGCTTAGCAACAGGACTCCCAGGCCTGTCACCACGGAAACAGCCTAGGCAAGCAGTGATGGGGAACAGCTGTCCAGGTTCCCTGCTCTTTCTGGAGGATTCCCCCTCCTTAGGCAGACAGGATGGTATTCCCCCAGCAGCCGAGAACCTGAAAACTGCTCTTTCAACCCCAGACACTTGCCCTAACTAGCAAGGTCCAAGGGCCTGCAGGTGCCTCTGCAGCCAAGTGTTAGGTAGAAAGGTAGAGTGTGAAGCAGAAGTTGGTGCCATATCACCTCTACGCTCCAGGTCTGACCTTGGGGTGCTGAAGCCCCACACCTGTGCCTCATTGACTGCTGCCTATGATGCTCTCACTATAACTGGTCACCTCCTGCCCACAGCCGCCCTCCCTCTTCTGAGGGTGTGTCTGTTTGCAGCAAGAGGCCATGGCCCCTGCTCAGCATCTAGCTGGATGGAGTTCAGGTGTCCATGTACTAGCCTCCTCCTCCTTCACAGAGATTGTGGAGCCCCAGCAGAGGCAGGGAGGACCCGCATCAGGGTCCCCACCTTTGCCTTCCCCCTAAACTAGTGGCATTAGGAATAAACTCTCTTACCCTCCTCAGGAGCCACCGAAGGTTCTACATGGGTACACACCTGTCTGCAGTCAGGCCGCATGCTCCCATGCACAGTTCTGCATGCAAGCCAACTCCATGCCTCTGGTGGGGAGTAGGCTCCTGCACATGTCCCTAGGAGCTTAAAGAGCAGTGTCCCACCACCCTCCATACCCTCTCTGGAGACTCCAGGTTTCCCTATGAACTTTACCATCCCCATCTCTGTCCCCCAAATAAGTCAGCATTTGCTAGAATTTTTTATTTAAATAAAATATACAAGACGGTGTGTTTAACCGTTTTTCTGTTTTAAAAGTGGAAGATTTGAAAATTGCTTGTAGAGGTTGGGGGGTGGAAGGTCCTACTGACTGGACTTGGCCTCTCTATGGTCACCAAGGAGTTGGCCAGTGGGTCAGAGTGTTTATAAAATGCATGTGTCAGTAGAGAAGAGTGGCTAGGCCAGGCCTGATGACAAGGGACTCTTCACTCCTTACACCCAGGCCCTCCATCTCCTCTCCTATGCCTCTAGGATGGACTGTAGGTCTGGGTGGAGTCCTGCTGGCTACCTGAGCTGCCTTCCTTGAAGGTAGGGTACAGAACTCTCCAGTCTTGAGGACTGCCTGGGTCTGGGGAGACTTCGCTAGTCCCTGGATAGTCTAGAGCTTCTACTGATTTCCTAGGGCCCTAGGACCTTTGTCCCTTCTCTCCTGGATTATTGCTCTCCACTCCCTGCAGGCCATCAACAGAGGGATTCCCTGGGGCATCCCAGAGCCAAACCTGCTCCTGCCACCATCTGGCTAGTGCATGGGGACCACAGGCATGGTAGAACCAGCCCTCCTCACTAGGTCAATGTCCTACCTGCTTAGACCCATATATAGGGTCCTGCTGGAGAAGCTGATCAAGCCTCAGGAGCTGTCAGGGATACTTTCCAGTCTCTGGAGTCTGCTCTGGTTGCTTGTTGCCTTCAGAGCCAAACCCACATGCCAACCTGGCCTGTCACCCAAGGTCCTCCTCTTGTCCCCAGCCTGTATTTTTCCCTCAAAAGCCCAGCTCCACAACTCCCTATCACTGCAGCCACCTCCTCCCATGCACTCCCTCCTCCCTCCCGCCCTCCCTCCCGCCCTCTCTCTCCCCCTGCCTCCCTCTCCACCCCCCTACCTCCTTCTCCCCCTCTCTTTCTCTCTCTCTCTCTCTCTCTCTCTCTCTCTCTCTCTCT